ACCCATGGTGTATTGGCAGGTGATAACTAGAAAAGACAACTGGGCAAATTTCCAACAAGTAGCTGTAGTTGGTAGTAAAAATGCAATCTGGCTGCTGTGGCTGAAATAGATGGTCATTAGGACTGATTAAAGTCAGATTTAGGTTGATTCAAATGAGCTAAAAGGGGGAAACCACCGACAGTTTCACATAGTTTATTATATACTTGTGGAGTTATTTATATGATTCAGTCTAGTACAGTGAAAATGAGTATGTTTATAGATTGTAGTTGGCTTTGGGACAACACAGGTGATTTTTGATGGAAAAACTTTAGAATAAGATTTTTAAAGCATTGGCTTTTTTTTTTTTTAATAGCTGTTGCACTGGTCAGTGATGCTGCAGATTGCTTTTAAAGATGCCTCTGTTACCTATCACGAGAAGGTGCTCAGTTTGAATATCACTGTGGCCGTCGTGGGGGCTAGCTAGCACTGTAAGAAACCTCTAAGGAGATTTTGGCCTGATCAAAACAGCGTGTTTTGATTGACCAGAACAAACTTGTAAAAATATTTTAAAACTGTTAAAAATACCACAAAACAAAACCTTTGAGGACTGCCCAGATTCAGCATAGCAAGATACTTGGAAGTCCAAACAGGGCAGGAAAAATGTTTCCTAGTAGGACTTATTTGTATACCTGTGAGCAGGGAATCAGCTGCCGTATGTTAAGCTGAGTAAATCTGTTGTAAGTGACATCAAGATTAGGCTTACTGCATTGTATTTATTTGCTTCAATCCTCACAGAACCAGTAGATGGAGAAAAGGATTCTTTTTCCCTTGTGATACTGGTAGGAGCGTCTTGCATTTCTCTGATCTACTCCTTGCCATTACCTTGATAGACTTTATGTACTCTGTGTCAAGCTACGTGTATGTATGCAAAAGTGTAAATTTATGGCTGCATTTATAGTATTAGGCAAGTATTTATTGGTTTTAAACACCATTAGTCTGGAAATCGACCAGAACTTTGACCTTTTTATGATGTGATTTACTGCTGTGAGCCTTCAAATTCCACGGACTCCATTTAAGCAAGTTTCAGGTCTTGGCAGGACAAAAACCTGAGCTGGAGCTGTCTTTAAAGCAGTGGAGTATTGCTTAATTGACCAAGAAACTGCACTGTAGTGACTGAGATGATCATTTAAAGGTGCAAGGGAAGCCCAGCTCTCATGCGGGCTGGGGCTAATGTCATTGCCGGGGCACATCTCAATGGAGGGGCATCCTTCAGGAGCATCCTTCTAGTTCACGTGAGAGGAGAGCATTTCTTCACAACTCATACAAACAAGGGCTAAGGGGTCAGCTCCCTAATTTGTTGCTGTGTAAACAAGAGATTCCAGGGATATTTGCCTTCGCCATGTGAATAGGGAAGGCTGCTACCTTGCTGAGTTTTGGAGTGAAATGCGGTTTCCTCAGACCAGCACTTGGTTGGTGTTGCAATGAGTTTCTGGTCAGTTCTAACTGTAATAGTTTAAGAGGAGATCCCATGTTGGCTTCCTGGGGCAGTGGGAGCACCTGACTGGTTTGGGAGCATAAGCCAGGGTGTGGGGCCATCATGTGTCCCACTCTCTGCTCTTTGTGGCCACCTTCCCATCGGGATGCTGCTGAGGGAAGGCGTTCCCAGGCAGCCACCCCTGCTGCCTGCCATGAAAGTGGGGAGAGGGGCTACTTTCCTGCCTTTCCCGCCTTTCCCCCTTGCTGCATCCCAGTCCCCTCCCCGCAGGCACCGTAAGCAGGAGGCTCAGATCCCCAGACCGCTGGCATTCAGTGGTTTGTGTCAGTTCGAGGGAGCTGCCAGAAGCTGCCTTTGTGGATCTCCTGTGACTCTGTGCTTTCACTTAGACTCCAGTGGCTGTATTTTCACCTGTCTGGCACTTGATGCTGTTCCAACCAAGGAAAATGCTCTTTACTTGTGTGTTGCGCTGCTGTATAGCTGTTGTGCTACCCTGTGGCCACGAGTCTTTGCAGATGGTGGTGGCTTCCCTCATGTAGGAACTGGTGGGGAGCGGCAAGGAGGGTGGAGACAGCCACGGGGCTCTGCTGCATGGTGAGACACCCTAAGTACTGGCATGGATGTTTCCATCCTCTCTTGCATCTGCAAGCCAGGACCTCACCATCACCGTCGCAGTTATTGCTGGCCCAACTCTGTCGATTAACGTGTCCAAGCTGCCCAAATGATTTACCAGGCTTGGTCACCTTGAAAAAGTCAATGGAAAGGGAGAACTTTATCTCCTGCCTCTGACAGACCCTCAGGTCAGGTAAATCACTACTGCTCTTTTGAAATCTGTTTACATCAGCCGAGAGCCTAACCCCTGACAGCTGTACTGGGAACAGTGTTGAGAAGAAAGTAAGTGCTATAGTCATATCAAGAGGCATATTTGTGTGCAAAAGAGTTTAAAAATTGATCAGTAATTCAAAATAAGAGTCTTCCAGATGGGCTCCTGCATTGCATGGTGTCGCGGCTTAACGCCAGCCAGCAACTAAGTACCACGCAGCTGCTTGCTCACTCCTCTCCAGCCCCATGGCGGGATGGGGAGGAGAATCAGAAAAAGGTAAAACCTGTGGCTTGAGACAAGAACAGTTTAATAATTGAAATAAAGTTAATAATAATAATGATGATGATGATAATGATGATAAGGAGGATAACAAAGTAAGAGAGAAGAGTAAAATCAAAGGAAAAAACCCCCAAGTTATGCACAGTACACCCACTGACCGATGCCCATCCCATCCCTGAGCAGTGACCGGCCCCTCCCAGCCACCCCCCCCAGTTTCTATACTGGCCATGACGCTCTATGGTATGCAATATCCCTTTGGCTAGTTTGGGTCAGCTGTCCCCACTGTGCTCCCTCCCAGCTTCTTGTGCAGCTCCTCGCTGGCAGTGCATGGGAAACTGAAAAGTCCTTGACTTAGAATAACCATTACTTAGCAACAACTAGAACATCAGTGTGTTACCAACGTTATTCTCATACTAAATCAAAAAACCACAGCACTGTGCCGGCTACTAGGAAGAAAATGAATTCCATCACAACCAAAACCAGGACACATGGAGAAAAATACATGATGTGACACAGGGGCTGCTCTGCTTATTGCCCTGATGGCATGCCAAGGGATGCTCCAGCCCCGGCATGGAGCCCGGCAGGCTCCGAGAGCACCCTTGGGAAGGGCCAGGACATGCTCCTGGCTGACATGGAGAATCAGGCAGATGCTTCATCTGCTGCTGCGGCAGCAAGGGCCATCCTTCTGTGAACGTCCTCTGTGGTGTGGGGTTTGGTGAAGTGCAGTGTTAGGTGACACTTCTGTCACCATGCAAAGAAAAGCTGTGGGTAGTCACATTTTATATCCAGTCAGCATGGCATATTCACTGATACAAATAGTTGCATGTGGTGCTGACAACAGTGAATTGAGTTTTTTGCATTTAATTTGTGCACATCATTTTTCTGACCTTGGCTGGGAGGTACAAATCAGTACTCAGCAGTTACCATACAGAGATAAGAGAGTATTACTTAGTAACATTCAATTATTGTTACACTGTACAGTTGATACAGAAATTGGAAAAAAGGGACTTTACCTATCCAGCCAGTAGCAGTTTGATTTATGCTCTGACTTTTCTTGAGAAGAAATGCTTATATATTTCTGATGGAGAAATGACGATTTATAATGTGGAACTACATTTTGATTTGCTTTTTTCTTCATGTGCATGAGTCTGCATTTTCTGAATTAATGAAAACTTTTTTGCCTTTCATTTAAGTGGGACATGATCAGCTCTGATTTTGCTTCTTGTTTGGGAATGTTTCTTGTGATACTTTTAATGAACCAGGCTTAAAATAGAATGCATTTACTACATTTATTTCCCACTATTTCAAACTGTGTGGTGTGAATGATACTTATGGATGTATACTGCTTTTCCCAGTTGAAATACTGGCAGTTTAGAGTAGTGGACACACTTGCCTTTGACTCAGTGGCGTTCATATGATGTGCTGTATGAAATATTAGCAAGCTGAATCTGCAATGTCACGCAGAAAATGCCTGAACTAAAGTGACTTAAGAATAGGCTGTGAGTCAGGGCAGGCATCTCTGGTTTCCATAATAGATACAATTAGAAGAAACATAGAATGTATTTTTTTTTTAATAGTATTGGGCGGGGGGGAGAGACAGGAGGGAACCATCAATTTGTGCATCTGGTTGCTAAATAGAAATGTTTAGAAATGATTAGTTGAGTTTGCTGATGTATTCATTAGAGAAACCCTCGTCAGCGGCTGGGAAAGTGAGAGGAGCTGTGAACAGAGAACAAGAGGCAGCTCATAAGGGCAAGTGAGACTGAACGGCAGCCAAGGGAGAGGAGCAATCGGCAGGGCAGCGCGGAGGCGCTGGGCGAGGATCACGCTGACATGCTCCCGCTACTTTTTTTTTTTCCTTCTCTTCGGAGGCCCATCAAGCGATTCCCCTTTTGTGCTAATCTGAGCAAGCAAAAAAAGTTTGCTTAATTAAAAGCCTGTCTTTTCTTCCTTCTCTAAAGGAGCCAGAGAAAAATAGCATGCTCTTCTGAGGGAGAGGGAGGGCTGGGAATGCCTGGTTGGGTCTCACCCCGACAATCCCGCTCACTGTTAAGAAGTAGGACAGTGAGTCAGTTCATTCAAGTGGATGCTGTTTATTCAATGGGACATTCTTCCTATAAAACTCCTAATAAAACCAAAGCCTCGCCTACGCAGTGGGGAAAGGGAAAGGGTTTTGTGCACACACTGTTTATGTACAGACACTTTCTGGAGAAAAAGGTGAGAAGAAGAAAGGGGGAAAGGAAAAGGAAAGTAAGGTGCAGAGCTATAAACACGTTTGGGTGTAAACCGGGGCTGGTACAGTCTAGCCTGTCACCTTTTCCGTCATATATCCTGCTCCTTAGCTGTTATAATAAACCTTGCCTGTTAAAAACAAGCAGTTTGCTGGAGCTTTCAAAACGATTGCTTTGCTCTGGTTATTTGCAGAGTACAGGCGGGTGCCTGAAGCTTCTATTCCTGATGAGAACTACAGATGCTGGCCATCTTACCATCATAAGGGCTGCCTCCTCTCCGTGTTTGACGTCAATGAAGCCATTGAGATCTGTGACAGCTACTCCCAGTGCAAAGCTTTCGTCCTAACTAACCAGACGACTTGGACAGGTAGGTTGTGTATGCTGTGGAGCAGAAGCAGCAGCTGAGTCATGTATTCTGGCTGCTTTAAGTGTTTTAATACAGTTTGAGGAGTGTGCTGTGCTGTGCTGTGGGAGCCACCAGCAGCAGCTAGATGTGGGGTAGTTTCTGAAGCTCCAGCTGGGGCAGTTTTGGTTTTGGTGGGGGCTGCTCTTTGCCAGCTTGTGCAGGAGCAGGAACCTGTGAACAGACTCAGAGGAGCTGGCACCCAAGGGCCACAGCCCATGGACCATAGGTCTCCAAACCGTGGGATCTGAAGTTTTATTTTAAAACACAGCAACAGAAACAACAGAAGCCTGTGACCTGTTTCTGCAGTTAAATATGCAGGACATGGTCTAACATCTGGATTTAAACAAATCTTTCCAATGCATATGGTTGTTGCAGTTTGACACAAAACCAAACAGGTTCTCCCATGCATCTAGCTAGGACTTATTGGCTGGTGTAAGAGATGCCCTGCCGCTGGTGGGAACATTGCTTCTAGCAGTAGGGCTTTGGCTAAAGGGAAAGCAAGAAGGGAGGGTGTAAAACAAGGTAAAAGTAGAAGTACAAGTAGAAGTAGAAGCAGAATTTGCAGGGGAAAAACCCATTTGCTACCACAACTCATTTTCTTGTCTAACAGAATACACTCATTGAAAAGAGAAATACATTTTCCAAAAGGTCTGTGGGCCTGGCAGTCCCAGTGTTGTTCCTCTGAAGGCAGGCAGTCGATGCCGATTGACATCGAGCGGAGAATTGGCCCTGGCTCACTGCTTCTGCACCAGACTTGTGCCTATTTCAAGCAACTCCAGAGCAATCTGAGAAACAAACATGTTACAAGTCTCTGCTAAAAATCTCTGGTAGCTGCAGCTCTGGAGTAGCTGAGGGTTTCAAAGAGCTGAATGCTGCAGCCGGCTCCCAACCCCGCACCCCTTCCCTGTGTGCCCAGGAGAGCCGCATGCCCCTGGAGCCGGCCCCGGCCAGCTCAGCTGGCAGTGTTCCCCTGAGCACACTGCACCCCTTGAAGAGTGAAGAAAAAAGGCATATTTGTGCCTATAAGGTGCAGTGGACCAAATCTGTGTTCTTTCATAATCTTCCCCTGAGCTAAAACACCCACTGAAGTCAGGATGAGTTTTTCTTCTGTGATTTTTGATTGCGGACACGTGCCCTTGCCCATCCTGTGACTGCTGTGCTGTTTCCCTGCCTGCGATTGCCATTTTCTGCTAGGGCCAGGTCAGCTCCCCTGCTCCTGTCTTTGAGAGGAGGGGTGGCTGATGCTAGCCACACCTTGGGAAAGCTGGTTGAATTTCTTGCTCTGCCCCAGACTTTAGTGTTGCGAGTTAATTTAGGCTTGGAGGCTCAGCTTTCTGTCTGTGCATCTGTGATCGCAACATGTCTTAACTTCAAAGACAAAGTCTACCCTGTGCGCAGTTGGGTGCTTCAGTTGTGCTTAGTTGAGCAACATAAATACACACCACAGCCAGGCTTATGTACATGCCTCACAGGTCCCCAGATCTGAAAGCATCACAAACGAGTAGAAACTTCAGACAGTTCAGATATTTTGGAGCATTTTAGGCAATGTGCTGCTACGGCTTTTTGCATTTTTTTTTGTGCTTCTGGGACGTGTGAACAGAGACTTCCATGGAACCTAGAAAAAACTAATTTATATTAACCTCGCCTATGGCTAACCGGTAACTACTCGGTCATCATGTCAGACTATCTCTAGTCAGACTATTGAAGTTAATTAATATACTAAAAAAAGTACTTACTGTGGCACAGGGAAATTCATAGGACATGTAGAGCAGTTCCTGTCTCAGGTTACAATATTAAAAGCAAATGAGACATAATGGCAGTATTTCTACTCTTACTTACCATTCCCTTTACCATGTCCTTCCTGATGCACGAGCTCTTGAGTCCCTGAAACCCGCAGCATGGAAATTTGCTCAGTAGTTGGGGCACCCTGTTTGCCATGTGATACTTTTTAAGAAAACAGTGTTATGGGAACCCCCTAGAGAGGCAGGCTGGGAGTAAATACCATTTGATTTTCTGAAGTTTAGAGAGAGGGAAGGCAGAGGTTGAACAGATGTGGGAAGTATCTCTGTGGGCTCTGCTGCAAGGACAGGCAATGGCAGAGCACGTCTGTGGGACAGCAGGTACTCATCGAGAGGCAGGGGTGTGAATGCAGTGCCAGGTCAGTAAGCATGGAGGGATGGTACAAGAACTGTGCTGTGGCTCCCACAAATACTGGTGAGTGAAACCTCACCAAGTTCAGCCCTCACTGGCCTCCGATGTATGTATGGCAGGTGCCTTGCACTACCCAGCCTGTTATCACTTGCTGGTGCTTTTTGCATGAGGAGTAGAAACCTTGTTCCAGCTTGGTTAAAACCCAGAGCTACAAAGTCGTCAACAAAGGCTATTTCAGAGAAAGTCGTGTGTAACGTACATTGCACTGATCAGTTTTGCAAAGATTCAAGCCTACAAAGACAATTCTGCTCTTGTATAGTCAAAGGGATGTCCTTCATTTAAGCCCCGAACTCAAGCCTGTTTTTATCAGTGGGAGAGTCTTTAAATACTTTTTAAAAGATCATGTGAAATTTGTATTAAAATCTTCAGACCTTTCCTTCATTTAGCATGTTAGCTGTGCACAGCCATATCTTGACCATAATTAGATAAGAGTAAACATACCGACACCAGGGGAGCTTCGGTGTCATTTTAGCCAAAAGCATTTTGATTTTATACCAGTTGAAGTTAAGAGAGAGTTCAGTCTTGGGTTGCCTGAAGAATGCATAGGTTGAAGAAGAATATGAAATATCAGTATTTTAATGTAGGCAACCTTTTGCACATCACTTCTAATTATTTTTTTTTCCTTCCGCCCCCCCCCCCCCCCCCCCCCCCCCTTTTCCTATTCGGTGCAGGTCGGCAGCTTGTCTTCTTCAAGATGGCCTCAAATCATATCATGCCTGATCCTGACAAGATAACATATGTGAAGGTGACAGACTGACACCTAAAGTGGCTCAGTCTGACACGTGAGTGGCAAGAGCTGTTTGTGTATAAATATAGGCAGCTGTTAGGTAGAAGGCGGCTGTGGCCGGAGAGATAATTGCACTATTACTCATTCTAATCTATAGAGTGCTAAACAAAACTTTAAAGAAATAACCTGCATGACCAGGATGAATGTGCAATAAAACAACATTTTGAAAATGTGATTTTTTTAAAAAAAAACAAAGCAAAATACAAGGTATGATACACTGTTAGGGTATAATTTTGGTTATAAATCAGCTGGCAGCTCTGGCTTTTCTAACCAAGGTTAGCATAATGTTTCTTACCTGTACGTGTGTACAGGGCTGAAAGTTGATAATTTCTATGGGAAGTCTGTATCGTCTGTGCTGATATTTATTTGGGCACGTACAATCACAACAGAGCAACCGAAGCGTATCAGTTTGTAAGCTGAATAACAAACGTTACTGAAGACAATCAGCATTTGTGTTAAAGCTACCAAATATGTGGTGCCGGCGTATTTGTCAAAAGGAAGGAATTGATTATGTTTAGAATTGCAAGACTGTAGCTAATTTTCATTTTTGCTTCCAATGTTATCATAAAGTTTCATTTTTAATTTAAAAGAGACATTCTGTAGGTCTAGCAAATGACATAAGCATATGAATAGTCCCACTGCAAGGGCAGGGACTTACCCAAGTGCTGAGTGCTTTGCTGAATGGGGATAGGCCTGAGCATATGCTTACAATTAAGCTTGTGCTTAAGACTTCTGTTGAATCCAATTTGAATTGTTCAGGAAGCCACATCTTTGACAGACTAGCAAAGCAATCCAGCTGGTGGAACGGTACTATCTTAATGACTATCTTGCAGTTATTCGTATTTTTTATCATCAAATCCTTGGTTTTCTAAGGCACCGCTTGCTAATTCTTAGAGTGAATGAAGTAAATGACCTTAATAATGTCAAATGAATGCTAGCCTTAATTCTATACAAAATGTGTTTTACAGGCATGGTGTGTCTAGAGAATTTGCTTTCAGTGAAAGCAATAAAGTAAACGCTAAAGTGACCAATGTCATACTGTTTTGTAGTTTGTACAGTCAGGAAAAAAAATGTGCTTTTGTTTCTCAAATTGTTTATTTTTGTAAAAAAAATAAAAGATAAATACAATTTCTTTCATACTCAATTTTTTTGTGTTGCAAATAAATGCCTAAATCCAGTGAAGGCTTAGATGTAATGTATTGTATGTAAACTTAAGCCTGGGATATTTTTCCCAGGAAGGAACTGTGGTTGTTCCAGTGGCTCCCAGGGAAGGATGTGCTTCCAGGGTACATGGTGGCTTTGTCTATGCGGTTGTCTGTCACAAACTGAGTGACTGTTAGAAGACAGCTCTTGTGTAGCCTTTCCTACTCTGTGGTTTGAGTCACACTGGTACCAGTCTTTTAACATTTGCAAGGGGCGAGGACGAGAGCAGGACCTGACGGAATTGCTTGTTGGGCTAATTGGTGTATTTTCTGTACGAAGGAGGGTCAGGGAGGGAGAGTAGGGGAGCCAGGGAAGCTGGGCAGCGGTGTGACCATGCAGGAGAGATGGTCCGACAGTGACACCGTCGGCAGTGGGTCTCGTCTCACTGCGGTTTCTCTGAGGTCACTGATACTCTAACGACTTCTGGCAATTGACTGAAATGACGTGCTGTAGCGGCTGTAACTCACAAATTATCAAACTCCCAGCCGTAATAGCTCAGCTGATTATGTCGCCATGCACTTAGGAACCCATCAATCATGCTGTGGTAATAAACAAACACTACAGATTCTTTTAAAATTGCTACATAAATCATGCCAACACATACTGCACAGTTCATTGAAGTGATAGGGGTTGTTGGCAGCGAGGTGCTGGTATGTATTTTGAAAGTCTTTAACCTCCTGTGATTGCCTTCCCATTAAGCAATGTACACTGTTCCAAAAATACTCAGCATTTAAAAATAATGTGAACGGTTAAATTCTTTAGTTACATTCCTAGGTAAAAAAATACCAACCTTTAAAAGAAAAAAAAAGATATCTGGGGTAATTCTTTAATGTTGTAGTCAGGTAACCTAGGATAATTTCATTCCATCACTTTCCGCACATGGGAAAAAAATGCCTCTTAAGTCAGGAATTGTTTATTCCTGGAATTAAACAAACTTGCCAAACCAATTTACATCAGCTTTTGCGAACAGATCCAGTAAGCAAGAAAGAAACATAGCTGTGAGCCAAGAAGCTGGATTCTAAATTTCTGTGATAATCAACTTTATACAGTCAGTTTTATAACTCTTTGAGAGTAAGGCTTTCCAGTGGAAATGCTCATTAAAACCTTAATAAGAAGAGAGGCGTGATACTACAATAAGTGAATTTAATAGCTGTAATGAGCACTGGTAAAAGTCTGAATTTATGGGGAGAAAGTGTCTTTGGCAGCAGTGGGTCTGGTTCATCAAAGTGCGTGGCTGGTGCTTGTGGCATGGAAACCCCTCAGAAGCCACAGAGGAGAAGGAGGAGGAGGAGAAGGAGGAGGAGGAGGAGAAAGCAAGGCATGAAGTGAGCTGGCAGGTCTGGGCCAGTCAGCCCAGAGCTGCTCCACATTTTCTGTGGAAAAGGCATTTCTATCTGTTTTTCCCTCTAACATTTTGACTGCTTTTTACATTTCCTGGCTTCCTCAACCCACAAGGTAGCAATATGAAAGAAGACACCACAGGGCTTTAAAAGACTGATGTCTGTGTGCATGCATGCACGTGTGTGTATGTGTATACGTATTTATGTACATGCCATGCTGAACAGGGAGAGCTTATTTCCTCAGTGAAAAGCCAATTAGCTGTGGAGAAAATGAGGTGCTAAACAGGATGTTGAGTTCATCTGGAGAAGTGAGAGCTGCATGAAGCAGCGGGTGCTGCAGTGTTGCAAGGGGCTGTGCTGAGCGTTTGGTCCAGCCCAGTGCTGCATTGCCCCGGCCAGGCTGCCCAGCCTCCGAGAGCTGCCCACCATCTCCGGGATGGCTTGGTGAAGAGGTGACACTAGCCCCAACACTGGGAACAGACTCCAGGCAACAAAATGGGCACTGCTCAGCATCACCTCTAGCCTGATATCCTGAGGGTTGTAGTGGAGACACGCCAAGAGCTTTGGTCTTTGCTTAGACCAAAACAAAAATGTGTTCTGGTTTTTCTGTATCTTGTCTAAGCCTACCGTTTTCTCTCTGGTCATTTTTGAAAGCTTTCTCCCCAACTTCAATGTGTCTTTTTAAGTGGAAAGCTGAGGTCTCATGTATTCAGCTCCAGAAACAGGTTGTTAAAACGCTGTGCTCGTTTTGGCTGGGTAAGAGATCTCTAAAAGCATCGTGTCTAAGAGAAATCTGAGGTGAAATTAGTGATGTCACCATGAGCATTCATGACCCTGAGAGAAAGCCTGAAAACAAATGGGCCCTGTTGCCAGCAGAGGAGGTCAGGTAAGTTTGTATAGAGGGTGAGGGGGGTTGGATGGGCAGTGAGACACTGGTGGAGAATCTGAGAGAGATGTTCTCCCAACATGAGATGAAGGAGTTTAATGTAAGTACGACTGTTCCTAATGTGTTTTGCCCTGCCTTTCCCTGAGGCATTTTACTTAGTAGTTCTGCCAGCCACGACCACCAAGTTTCCCATAAGATTTGTGAGGATGGTAGAGTGGGGTGCAGCAAGCAGAGCAGCTTGGAGTGAAGGCACGTCTTCCTATTGCCAGTTACCATAAGTGATGTGCTGACCACTGGGGACCACTGTCCTGGAGCAGGACCTGACCATGGTAGGTGCACAGTGAAGACCTTGTCCCTGCCTCTGAAATTCACCTTATCAACTTGTACCACAGCTCATGATAAGTCCATGCAGCCTTGTGTTCACACCAGGTGAGCAAAGGAGTAGACTTAGTGACTAATCAGTTAGTCACAGACAAGCATCCGGAAAAACATAGCTACCCACATGGGGTCTCTCTGCTAGGGATATGGAGAGCAGAGACCCAGCAGCTCACTGCGGGGCTGCCCTGCACGGCTGCTCTCCGCAGCCTCCTCCAACAGACACCTGGGGACGGGCAGGAGGCACGCCTTACAAGGAGAACTGGAGAGAGGCAAAATAGGCACCGTTATTCCACTTCCACTGGTGCTGACCCTCTTCATGTTTAGAAGACCCCATGCCTTCATGCACTGTTACTATTTGGAACAAAAAAGACACTCTTGTTGATAATAATTTAGATTAAGCAAATGATTTAGAGGACTTGTAATTCAAAGCATATGGAAGGTGATAGTAAACATCCAAAGATCGTGTTATGTTGCCTGTCAGGAAGAAACGTATGAATACAGGGGTGTTCAAACTTTAGTAGAGAGAGCCTTATCTTGTATTCTTTAGCACTAAATTCTTTGAAGGCTAACTAAAACCTACTCCCAGGATAAAAAAAAAAAAAAAAAGTGGAAAAAAGAGTGCAAAGACTATTCAAAAGTTTTTCCAGGAAAA